GGAATGTTTACGATTATTCCGACGCTAGCTTTCATAAAAGTTACACGGTGCTACCTATGTATCACAAAATATAAAATAAGTTTTACCTGTATATAACTAGACAAACGTATTCGGAGCTTTCATTCACAATCATAAGTTGTAATCTGAAACAAGGAATTCACGAGAACATTACAGAGGCCTCGCGATTGTTGACTCTTTGTTGATATGCGATCATTGTCCAGGCGATTATTATCCCCACCACTGGGTGGGAGGAGGGGGGTGGAACTGAGTAACCGCATACTTTGTTGACACGACGCGCCGAGACGGCTTCCCGTTCACGAGCCGACGACTGAACGTTGGGAGTCCACAAAAAGGTTACATTCCCGGGTGTCGGTGATACAATATTAATGCAACGATAAACCTTTTTTATTTTTGGGTGTTTATTAATGAAACTTTTATGAACATATTGGTGAGATTTTTCTGATTAAAACGATACCAAGCACGACTCAGTTTGGGTCATATTTACTTATGATTTATCAGAATCGATAATGAACTAATATGAACTATTAACACTTTCTACACGAGTAAATATAATCCAAATTATATTATATTTGGTATCATTTTAATCAGAAAAATCTCACCAATATAAGTAAAAGTCTCGTTAACAACGAATCCAAAATAAAAAAGTTTCATCGTTGCATTAGCGTTGTCTCGCGCGCCGGGCAATGTATGGGCTCGATTGACTCGACGGACGGAGCGGGGGATTGTACGACGATTAGTCGAAGCGTTCAATCAATCGCCCGCGACTGCCCAAAGAGCTACCGACGAATAAAATGTAGCTGGATCATCTCCAGTCACACGTATTTTTATGATTGGCCGAAACGGTACACACACAATCGGACTGTGTGGTCGATTATAATGTAATCATTGGTCGGTAGTAGCGTCGCAGGCGAGCTACGCAGCCGAGTCGAGTGGGAAAAGAAGCTTTCTCTCTATTTTTCACTGGCTTGTCCTTTTCTACGTTCGGAACACTACAAAGGCGAGTTGTCAAGGCTCGAGCTTCGGGCAAAAAACGTATTCACAAGGGTCAGAAGCGTTTCGTGTGGTCCACGATTATAGTCCCTGCGCGGACCCGAGTTCGGGACAATAATCGCGAGACCCCTGTATATTGTAATTATGCTTTCATTATATCCATTCTCGGATGGTACAAGGTAAAAATTAAGCAAAAATTTTAAAACAAAACATCATAGACGGTTCAAATGGAGCGCAATCATCCATAGTTTTGCGATGTGTGGACATTCCCAGAGGGACGGTATATCCAACAAAATAAACAATTTGTTCCAGGAGGACATTTAAAAAATATATCGAGTATGGGCGACCTAAGAAAACAACAATTACACAAGACAAACGTTGATTATTTAATGTAACGTCAGTAGTATCCTTAATTCAAATACTACAGGAAACGGTTTTTGTCCGAAAACATTTGTCCAGTACTGTACATATTAGACATTAGAAAATATATATGTGTGTTTGTCAAGCGATTAGACGTCTGTACCAGCAGTAGTCACTGGTCAGCAGTAGAAACAGTTTTGACAATAAAACATTCAACGTAACTATTTCAATAAAGTTTCACTTTAGACTAATTATGCCCTTAAAACTTATTTACTCACAAGGAGAGATCCCCACGTGTACCGCTCACTTTTTAATAAAGTTGAGCACACTTGATAGAGCTTAAAACTCTGAAGCTAATGGTACTTGTTTCAGCCGCATACATATGACCGTTACGTTATGAGATGTTTAATGTTAAATTCTGTCATTTTCGGCGTAATGCGACTATCCATACGTATCTGTGAAAAGTTGGGCACGACAACTGAAAATGTAACGTAGCAGTAAGGTGTTTGCTTACGAAACTGCTACTTTTTTCAGCGTCGTTTCGAGCCCTAGCCGGTTGAAATTATCCAATGAAATACACTTTTCTTGTCACTGTTTTTGTTTCGTTATATTAATTTTTTATCATATACATACAATCTGTAGATTAATGTTTTTATAAAAATTAAATTTCACTTACGTTTTCTTTATAGTTTACGCACAAGTTTGGGTGGTGTTAATAATAAAAGCATTTGTGTATCAGAATATTCTTTATGTGTAACAGATTAATTCAAATTATAGATGTTACAATAGATGTAGGTACTTCCACATATATGTGTATACATTATAGAAACATATATCAGTCCTTAGTATATAATCAACTACAAGCTCCTATTTACGCCGGTATGATTAGGTAACATATATATTATATTTATATTGTATTCTTGATACTTAAAGAAAACATTACAATACACTCTCCAATTTTTTTTCGCAGATACACATGGAACGCATTACGATTATTGTATCAAAAAATGTACGGCTAGTTTTTGATATATCAACCTACGATGATTTCAATGATTTTTAAATATGTTGTCGAGGGCATGATTCTGAAGAACTTTTTCCTTAGGTATAATTGACGGAGAACCCTAGTCTCCGAGATATTCGGAAAAAACTGTGGGTACCACTACAATGAATTCTGCGTATAATCGTGCGTTCGTAGCAGTGTACGCGTTAGTATTGTTTGCTGGCCGCCTTACATTATGTTATGATTGTGTTCTACGCTACACTTGCAGTTGTCGAAAGTGCTAAACTTGTCGCAGATAGGCACGGGTAGTCGTCATAGTGTATAGACAATACACTACGCCGTTACCTTATGTGTAGATAAAGGTTCTTTTAGACCGGGGCTAAGACCCCAAAACTTATAGTTTTTACAAAACGCCAGATATACCACAGATATGTTTCGGTCTAAGAGTATGTATCCATACTCCAAAGTACGCCGGGAAAAGGACACAGACATGTGATTGCGGTTTTTGACGCATTTCTTAATTGGGGTCTAACTGAAAATGTGAAAACACTTTGTTGTAACATGTCATAGTCGAATTCGGAAAATATTAATGGTGCTACTGTTCTGTTAGAACATATGTTAGAAAGAGACCTATTCTACTTACCTCGTCGGAATCATATCTTTGAAATAATTCTGCGAAGCGTCTTTGAAGTAAAAATGTCGCCCTCGTTAATTCTAAGCATACCGCTTTTTAAACGTTTTCAAATAACTTGGCCAAAACTTAATGTAAAAAAGTTTTAATCTGGTCTTGTAACGAAAAGCATTAAAGATGCGTTGATTGTTGATATAAATGAAATGCTTCAGTTTCCAAGAAATAACTTAGACTATCATCACCCACGTGATGATTACAAGGAGTCTCTTTTAATATTATTTGAATAACATTTCGATAAAACGTACCATTTTTAAGAAATTTTTTGTAAACTCCAAAATTCCTGTTGTCCGATTGAAATAAACTTTCTCAGAGATCATTTTTTTCATCAAATGGAACCAACTAGAGGGTGAGAGCAAAAGAAATTGAATGTCGAAATTAAGGGCCACCCTAAGATACAAACGTTTTAGGAATTGGCCGGTACGAGCATTATGGACGTGTATACACGTTTCATGAATTGGCTTGTACGAACGCTGGGGACATGTTTACACGACAGTGTAATAATTTTTGGGTTAGTATCTAACCGTCTAATTCATCTCATCGATTACCACTCACGATCTTGTTTGTAAATATTTTACGCGTAATCCTGCTTATACTACATAATCTTACACTTAATAAATCCTAGAAAATGAACAAAGGGAAAAACAGTAAAGTAGAAAGTAGTAGTAGTAGTGTCACAAACAGTAGAGTATTCCGCGCACACGCGACCCATTTGTTAAAAGTATGCCGCACCGAAAGGGTTAATGCTCTTTTAAATTCCGTAAAGAAATATCGAGTGTTCCATTTGACTAGTCACGGTGTGTGAATGGGTGTAGTTTCAAAAACGGCCATCTTCCGATTTTCCCTAAATTCCCCCAAAAAACATATGCAATAGCTTTTTTGGCACAATTGAAAAATAAATACGAAATGCCGTAGCACCTAGAACGACCCACTCACCTTATAGATGAAGTCGTGACATTGTACAACGTCTCGTAGTACTGCAGTAATTTTGTCTAAAACTGTCCCCAACCAATTGTTGTGTATGTAACTCACCCACACAGAGCGGTACAAAACATGTTTCATGTGTTGTTATTATAATCCGTTATGACAATGAATAATTATCTCGTTATTTTAGCGTTAGCACATTGTCAGTTAATTTTCAAATGTGCCAAAAACCCTTCAGATATGTTCATGTGGATGTATTTCAGACAATTGTATTAAATTTCATGCAAATCTGAGGGTGGACCTTTTCAGATCTGCAGGCAAAAAAATAACTATTCTAACCTATGTCCCCCTTGAAATCAAGAAACTTTTGCTTCGTACACTTTTTCGTACACCAAATAGTTTATGGGTGATTACAAGTCGTTGAACCAGTTAGGTGAATCTCTCACATGAATTGAAATACGATTAAAACTATAACTAGAATCAATAAGACTTTTATATCACTTTTAATTCAGTACACATGTTAATGATACCAATCAAATTTTCTTCAATGCTGGTTTATGTAAAATAATCTATAAAGATGAGAATTTGCACAAAAATTCATAATTTAATTATTATTATTAACCCATTAAGTCCCAAGCAGTGAAATAAGGCGAATTTTTGCACATATAATTATTTATTACTTATAAAAGTATATAAAAATAAGTAAGTAATTTTTGTGTAACAAAATTTGCGTTTATGCAACTTTGGGCAAATTGTTATTGAAAACGTAAATAAAATAACTTATATATTATTTTGCCGAAATATAAAAAATGCATTATACTTGGGACTCTAAACACCGTATTATAGAAGGCCACTACACAAGAAAGATACTTTCGATTTCCATGATTTAAGAAAAAATTTGGCTTATCATAGTGCTATAAATACTTTAATTTCTACAAATGTTGAAACGTAGTAGAATCTAAGTGGATAAGAAAATAGTGAGAAAAGAAGTATTAAGCAAATCGTTGAAATCCTCTTTCATAACTGCAACATCAAAAACAAAATTCAATTATGTTAATCAATTGGACAAAAATTATGAGTGTAATGTTGCGTTAACGCAACGTTGGGTCTTACTGTGTTAAATACTGATCAAATGATGCCGAAGTTCCTTCACACGATACTTTTATACCAAATTATTTTACCCTAATGCCCAAGACGTCAGTATTCTAGCTCCTAGTTAATTTTTGTTCAAAATTTTAAATTGCCATTCCTATAACCACAAGTCAGCGAACTCGAAGATAGCCGAAATATCTAATGAGTAACACAAAACAAAACAAACCAAACCTACCTTCCATCCAGCGCTGCTGTTACTCTCCCTTTTCTCCTTGAAGTACGGAATATTGTCCGTCATCCAGTCATAAATCTGTGATAAGGTGAGTCGTTCGTCTGGTGCGCTGGTGATGGCCTGTGTGATCAGATCGGCATAACTGTGATTCCCCCAGGCATTTCTTCGCGAGGAATTCTTTTTGACCGGTAGTAATCCTGAACCCTGTCCCAGAGAGCCGTGTTGAGGAGGCGTGCTACATTCCACACTTTCGACACCTTCTTTGCTACCGGACACAATCCCTTCAAGAGTCTTTGATCCCGAGTCCATCATCCTAGACTCTTTCGTGTATTCCGCTTTGATTGCCGGCACCCAACGATGGCACTTACTCCAAGCAATTACAAAACTATCTACCAGAAGATCGTAAGAACCTGATTTGATAGCCGATATGGAAACTGACGTTGGCCACACTGTCACCACTGACCGTCACTTTTTATCACTACACTCGCCGCACGACGACAGTACGAAAAACACTAGACCGAGATCACTCGAATCGAACACTCCCGCGATGGCTGCAAGACCGAGAATACACCGCACGCTCCGCGCGCATCGACAGAAAGGGAGTGGAACAGGGTAAGAGGGGGCAGACCACGTGGTCAGACGCTCTGTTTACAATCCGCGACACAGGTCACGTGGCTATGTTTTGATAGGGAACTTGGCCCAGTGAACAACTATCACATCGAGGACTTGCGCTGGTTCTCGATCTCTCACCCTATTTTTCATCGATGCTATGTTTCTGAGGCTATTCAAGGAATTTGAGAGAATCAAGAGGTATTTTGAGTAACTAGTTCTTTACTATGTTTCCAGGATTCGTAGATTCAATTTTTTAACGATTTCTCAGTGTCTGTTTTTTCTCTGAAATTACTTTTTAGGGAAATTAATTAATATTTCTTAATATTTCTCAACCAATCACCCAATTTTTTTAGATTCTCTTCTTGTTCCGTTATTGGAAGAGACTGATCAGATAGAGAGAATTTCAAGAAAATTATAAGAATTATTTTCTGTGTAAAATTCTTTGATTAGGGTTTTTAACGATCTTCCGGGACAGTGCTATCTCTTAAATTAGTTTATTATGGATTAGTACCCTTTGATGTCTCTGGATCTTTCTCTATGCAATGTCTTCGCTTGCTTTCTTTCAGGAAATTAAGAGGAATGACAGAATTTTAAAAGGATTGACAAGAGTAATTTTTTGATCGGCCAAATTCGCTTGCTATCTTTGCTTTTCTATGATCATTCTTTCCACTTTTCTATCAGATGATTGCGAAAATTTGTAAAACAATCGGCAAGAATAATTCTCTGATACCGTCCTTCTGTAATCATTTGGTTAATTTTCTTATCGATCTCGTTCCCCGGGATTAACGAAGGCAATTCTGTATCCAAGACTCGTTCACCAAATTTTGCGTTGATCGGCTACACACAATCCTCTTCTTCTCTGTTTACCAAAGACTTGTTGAAATTTTCAAAAAATCGGCAAAAATAATTCGCTGATACTATCCTTTAAAGATCCTTAAATTAAATTTTCTATCGATCCTTTCCAGAAACTTTTTACCAATCATTTAGCCACTATTAATCTTCTTCGAAACTTCAATAATTTTCACGATCATCCGTCTCAATTTTTCATCGATCTCTCAACAACTATCTTCTTCGAAATTGTAGATAACGGACTTGCCCTAGTCTGAACTCAGCCATCCAACGCTTCACAAATAAATCTCACAACTTGCTCGTTCCTCACGCTACGTGGAACTTACCAGCGAGGCTTCGCGGCGAACACTGACGAATTCCGGAGCCGGAACCGGCCGAGCGCAGCCGAAGCGGAGAATTCGTGGCGCCTGAGCGAGAGAGACCGATTCGAAAAGGAAGAAAGAGGGGATCGCAAGCAAACGAGAGGTTCGGTGGGTGGTTCGATGCAGAAGTGCGGCTCTGGCAAGAGGCGCGGAGAGAGAGAGGAACTGAGTGCGATAAGTTGAGAGGTAAGCGGAAAGGGGCAGGGAGCAGGCAATGGTCTGGAAGAGCCGGAGGGAGAGGAGTGGCGGAGGAGACACCGTGAACGGTGGGATCGAGGTGTGGGCGGGGAAAAGGGACACGATGTTACCCACAGGGGAGATAGTGTTCGACGTACTGTACGAAGGCCGCTACACACGTTCGGGCCAACTGACAGTCTCGCCTGAACAGCCGATGCTTGCGGAGGTCAGTTCATGTCTCCATCGGTTCCTGTCAAGTGGTTGAAGAAAAGGAATGTTTATTCACATGTAAACTTATGAAATAAATTACGGTTTGCACCTAAAATTTGGAACAATTATTTAAGGATGAACGAAGAAACTTATGTAAAGCTTCTGTCCTTAGTTACTCCGTTAATAAAAAAAAAATACGATTATGAGGAAAGCTATTTCACTGTACGAGAGATTATATACAGTGTGTCTCACGAACTCTGTCCACTAAATATCTTGGTTATTTGTAACAATACGAGAAAATGTTACTTACAGAAGTTATAGGGTTTAAGAAACTACATAATATGGTACAAATGATATTCTTACAAGTGGAGGCGTAGAGAAGATATAGAGGTCACATTTGTTTTCTAAATGGAATAACCAATTTTTTTAAGCTCGATTTCGATAGATTGGCGTATTCTGAGTATAAAACTACTAAAGTGTATTTGTCCTACAACTTACCGTTGCTGAGATATTTTCGCTGTTTGTTTACATTTGATGTAATGCGCATATCCTCGAATACGTTCCACAATGCAAATAATAGAATGAAAACAGTCAAATATCTTAGCAACAGTAAGATTTAGGACAAATGCACTTTAGTACTTTTATACTCAGAATACACCATTGTATCGAAATCCAGCATAAAAAATTGGACATTCCATCTAAAAAAACAATAATGACCTCTAGATCTTCTCTACGCCTCCACTTGCAAAAATGCCATTTATACCATATTATGTAGTTTCTTAAATCCTACAACTTCTGTAGGTAACATTTTCTCGTATTGTTTGAAATAACCAAGATATTTAAGTGAACAGAGTTCGTGAGACACTGTATATTTACCATATATGTTCTTAAATAATGGTTACAAAGATTATATGTCACATTCAATTTCGCCACTAACAAAGGACAGGAAAATCGTTCAACTTTTCTTGAAAATACTTTTAAAACAGCGAAAGCATGGTCTTTATAACTATTGACTAGGAACATATGGATAATGTAATTATAAAAATATACATAACACCATTTAAAGGCACTATGAGCGCTTAAAAAAAAAATTAGGACACACAAAAATAGCAAACATGCCTATTCGGGGAACATCAACAATCTCATTTCGTCGACTACAATACTTTACGCCTTAATTGATATTGTCTATAATACGCAGGACATCGGGTTTTCCGAGAATTCCGAAGAGGAGCTATCAACCGGGAACATTTTCTTCTTTGCACAGTGGTTCCAGTCCCATATGCTAGGTAGACAATAATAATTTTCAAATAAATAAAATCTAAGTGTTTCAATATAATCTATAATAACCGTATATTAAGAATATTACACAATAAAACCTTAAATCTTTTTTGTTGAATGTGTACAGACTGGGCAAACCACGCTTTAAAGACAGACAATAAAGCGGTAGTTAATCGATCACGTTTCAGGCATCTATAGAAAGATTCGGTAAACTTATTAAGGTGCGCTTAAATTTCAAATTAGTGATGGATATAGCATCTCAAAGTATGTATTGTAGTTTTAATAACCTTAAATTATCAATAACTATTTTGTATTTTTGTAAATCACACTTCGAATCAAATACTAAATTCTTGTTAGAAATTTGCACTATGTAAAGATTTGTCAATGTTTTAATATAGGTTCCACGTCGATTCACGCGACAAGAGTTACATATACGAAAATTAGAGACTTTCTAGTTTCTTTTAATGGCAAACTGGACTTACAAAACTTTGCAAAACTATATGTACTGTTAATCTTAACGTTCACGCCCGTGACATATACTAATGCGCCCGATACACTCGCCACTTGGCGGTTTATTTAGTCTAGTCACTGATACTTACGGATCATTTCTATGGTATCCTATACTCAAACACATTTCTATCATCTTTCGCTCGTTTGCTCGAATTTTCCAACAAAACAATCATAAAATACCAAGCTTTTCCCGTCAACTCTTATTCGTTTCTTCCGTCTTTGAGCGACCAGTGTGCAGTAAATGTCTCCTTGTAGTCTTTTTCTTTTTATAATTTTCAGTTTTGTTGTGTTTAGTGTGGTTATTATTTTTTTATTCCTCTTGTTACTATTACCGTCATTGTTGTTGTTGCTGTTGCTGTTGCCGTTATTGTTATTTTGTTACATTTATCGCGTTATACAGGGTGGCCCACATAACTGTTAACAGCTCAATAACTCGAAAACTATGCCATCGATTTTAAAGTTCTTGGTCTTAAATTGCATGAATCTGAAGGGCCTTTCTAACTACATAAACGTGAAGTGGCTCGCCCTTCCCCTTTATAATTTTAAATGGAACCCCCTATAAAATGTTACATATTTAGATTCTACAGCAAAAAGCAAGTAAATTTTAGTCTGAAACATTTTTTTGTCAGATATTTCCATAATGAGATATAACAGTTTGAAATTTCGACTTGTAGGTACTTACTTAAAGCGCTCAGAAATTGCGTTATTGAATTATACGCGCTTGAGTCCTTTGCTTATTCGTGAAGAAATAAAATGTTCTTTAAATTAAATGTTCAAAATATTCACCACGGGCTTGTAAACATTTATTTACTCGAAACATCAAAGTTGTTCTAACATTTGTTAACATTTCGGGAGTCACTGAAGCGCAAGCGTCACGTGTTCTTTGTTACATATTCTCTTTTGTCGTCGGCGGTTCAAACATAACTTTGTCCTTTACATATCCCCATAAGAAAAAATCTAATGGTGTTAGAGCGGGGGATCGAGGAGGCCATTGATGAGGTCCCCCACGACCTATCCATTTGTTCCCAAATTTTTCATTCAAAACTTGTCTGGTGATGGTTGCAAAATGTGGAGGAGCGCTCAAGAATTGTAAATATTATTGTTTTTGTTTCTTCACGAGTAAGCAAACGACTCAAGCGCGTATAATTCAATAACGCAATTTCCGAGCGCTTTAAGTAAGTACCTACAAGTTGAAACTTCAAACTGTTATATCTCATCATGGAAATATCTGACAAAAAAATGTTTCAGACAAAATTTACTTGCTTTTTCCTGTAGAATCTAAATATTTAACGTTTTATAGGGGGTTCCATTTAA